TGTAGGGCCACACACATGTCCAGTCTCTGGAGCTGGGTGTGGTGTGCACCTCCTAGCGACTTGGGAGGTTAAGACAGAGGATGACTTGAATGCAGTATTTTCTTCTTTTTTTTTTTCTTATTTTATATGCATTGGTGTTTTGCTTGCATGTTTGTCTATGTGAGGAAGTCAGATCTCTTGGAACGAGAGTTACAGAGCTACCATGCGGCTGCTGGTAATTGAACCTGAGTCCTCTGGAAGGTCTTAACCACAGAGCCATCTCTCCAGTCCAAACCCAGGATTTCAAGACCAGACTGGGCAACATGAGAAGGACCCGTCTCCAAAACAAAAGAAAACAAAGCATAAAGCTACATAAGCACAGGAAGGGGACAGATAATATTCCCAATAGGAATGGTTCCTGGTAGTCAGAATGCAAGAACATGTTAACTAACAAAAATAGCAGCCCAGAACTAATTCACCCTATAAAGCTGTTCCATGAGTTCTACAAGGAGAGAAGCCTTTGGTTTTGTTTACTATAGTATCTCAAGTTCCTGTCTGTCACCATCCTAAGAGTCAATCTGCTGTAGGAGCAAACATGTTATGTAGCATCATCCAAATCAAGACTGAAGGAGCTGGACAATGTAGAAAGTCAGAACACCTGGGCTAAGCGTTAAGCAATCATCAAAACTTCATTTCTGCTTGACTTTGACCAAGTCTGCTCTAAATCACTTTGGGTATTACTTGAAGCTTGACACGGATACTCTCATCTACAGATTGTATCCTCCTGACTGACTCTTGGAGAACACTGAGAAACTGGTTGTTTCATACTTCAAATAAAAGCAATGCCAAGAAAAATGTAAATCTTATTAGCTCTCTTGTAATATGTGAAAACCTGCTCCCCTCCTGTCTTTGGCCACACTGGCCCTTTACCCGACCTGCTCTCTACGTGCATTTACTGGCGGTTACTAGTAGTGTTTCAAGGCCCTTCCTGCAGACTCTACCCCCCCACCCCCGCCTCCCCTGGTTCACCAGCTAGCTGTAGTCATCCTTCAAAATCAATCCCAGAGTTACGTTCTCCACGAAGCCTTTTCAGACCACCTGCCTCTCCTGGCTCCCCAGTCTCCCTTTCTTCACAGTGGCCAGCTCCTTGGATGTCACCACTCTAGTTAGTTCTATGAATGGACAGTTAATGGACAAATACCAATACTTCCAGTCAGGTTTCTTAGAGAACTTATGAAATTTGCCCAAAACTATATCCATAAAAGCCAGGATGTAAAACAGGCCCACACTACTTCCCTACCTTGCTTCTCAGACAAGTAGCTCTGACTCTAAGTACTCTGTAACAACAGCACTCTTGCTCCAACTATTGTCTTCTGATTAGAGATCCTTTAGGCGGCTCAGCAGAAAGCTTAATCATGTCAGGCAGCTCACAACTGCCTCTAACTCCAGCGCCATGGGATCTGACTCTGACACCCTCTTCTGGCCTTCAGGTGTACTACACACAAGATCTTCCGAAAAGGGCAGGCTAGAGTCCCTCAGTCCGGGAACTTTCCTGTGGTGCAGGATGGGCTTTCATAACAGCCCTCTGTGGCTCCACGGAGGTCAACGGAGAGCTCTACTGTCTTCTTTCCTTTCCCCTCTCTTTCTTTCATACTGGAGATTGAAACTACCACTCAATGACATCCCAACTTTTTTTTTTTTTTAACTTTTTGGGACAAGGTCTGAGTTGCCCAGGATGGTCTTAACCTTTTTATCGTCCTGCTTCAGCCCCTCAAGTAGCTGGAATTACAGGCCTGCACCAACAGACCTGGTTAGCTCAGTTGCCAAGGAGTGAGGACACACATCTACACTTCTCTTATACATGTCACTTCATGAGAAGCAAGAAGAAAATAGCTAACACTTTTTAAACTGTCTCTATTGCAGGGAATTTTTTTGAAAGTCGACTTATTTAAACTTTGTAATGCTGGAGATCAAACTGAGGGTTGATCTACATTCCCACCCTCAAATATGTTTACAAGGAAAAACAAAAGAACAAAACTTTGTGAAATAATTCAGGGTTACTGCTCACCAGCGCTATCATTCTTCTCCTTGTACTACCCAAGGGGATAAAGAAGTTCCAATTACTGGTACATTTTGCCCTACTTTTGTCAATGTTCCTTCCTCAACTTAATTTTAATACTTTCACTAATAACCTAGTTGGAACAGTCCCAAGAGAGAATTGTTTTCTTTAACAAGATCAGACAGGCATTACTATCCAAATAGTTTTAGAAGACAGTACAAGCAAAGGAACATTTATTTCTTATGCTATAGCCAACAATTTGATTAGAAACACCCTCACTGGAGCAGTAAAGGTCTTTTAGGTTCCACTAATAAAGTCTTGCAGTGAATCACCAAATAAAGCCTGTGATGATGGTTTGGTGACAGCTGGGTCAGCATCAGGAGAACTGGAGTTTGAGAGGGTAGGGGAGCTGTGTAACCACCAAGTATGTTTGTTATCTTAAAATATACATCATTAGTCTGGCTCTCTTAAAAAGCTCCAGGCCATCCCTCTGTAACACCACCTTACAGCCCTACTCTGAACATACCAAGGAATGCATCCATACATCAGACACCATCTAAAACTTTCTCTTAGAATCAAAGATCAAGCTAGGCATACTTAGTGTATTCTCATAATCTTAGCACTCAAGGATGCTGAGGCAGAAGGATAGTCAATAGAGTTGAAGGCTAGCCTGGATGCATAGTAAAATCATGTCTAGAAAACAAAACAAAACAGAATCAGAGTTCAATGAACCAGTGCCTGAAAGCTTTCACCCTAATGTATTCTGAGTTCTATTCTGAGATGACAACTATCTAAAAAGGCTGAAGCAACAAGGCAAATAAGATGGTACTTCATTTGTTTTGATTCTCTGAGTTAGGGTCTCCTATTATCTAGCCTGGCTCCTATTCCTGCATCCATCTCTCTAGTACTGGGATTACAAGTATGGGTTACCATACCTAGAACCAGCCCAAAGGTCCATGGGTGAGATGTGGACCAGTCAAGAGGGGTGTATAGAGGATGGAGAGATGCCTCAGCAGTTAAGAGCACTGGCTGTTCTTCTAGAGGACCCGAATTTAATTCTTAGCCCCTATGTGGTGGTTCACAATCACCTATAACTCTATTTCCAGGGGATCCAACACTTCCATTTGGTTTCCAAGAGCACTGCATGTACACGGTGCACAGACATATGTAAAGGAGACATATGGGCAAAACACCATACATATAAAATAATAATGATGATGATGATAAAAGGGCCAGGGGTGATAGCAAATGCCTTGGGCAGCAAAGGCCTGGTCTATGTAGCAAGTTCCAGGACAGCCAGACTACATAATGAGATCCCATCTCTAAGTAAGAGGGGTGTGTGTGTGTTAGACAGAAAAGAGAAAGAGAGAAAGGGGGAGGGAGGAAAAAGGTAGAGTAAGACACACTTGTTTGATGGTGGTAGAAGTCTCATCAGTCAATTAGACTTCAAATCCTCACTCCTCCTGCCTCGGCCTCTTGAGTGCTGAAATTACAGTCAAGTGCCACCTTGCCTGGCCCTTATTCTGGTTTCTTTCCTGTTCTAAACACAACTGGATCTCTCCTCAATCCTGGTCCCTGATGTAAGCTGCAACCACAAGGCAACCACTCTTTTTTCTAGTCAAAAGAAGAGATACATAGTCACTGACCCTGAAACAAATTTTCAAGTCTAACTCACTTAGATATTATTCCTGGTCCAAAGACAAGTAGAAAGTTATATACAAATGAATTATGGCTAATTTAAAAAATACATTTATTTTACTTATGGCTGTGTGTGTGCAGGTGCTTGAAGAAGCCAGAGACAGTGGATCCCCCTGAAGCTGGAATTACACACCACTGTGAACTGCTCAACGTGGATGCTGAGAACTTAATCCCAGTCCCCTTCAAGATCAATATGTGCTTTTAAGTGCTGACCTATCTCTCTATCCCTACAGCTGATTTTTATCTGTATCCACACTATATGTGCTATCTAAATGCAGATGTGGGAGAAGCAGGCAGTGGTGGTACATGCCTTTAATCCCAGCATGACATATTTTTATGTTGTTGTTTCACTTAAACAAGCAAAAAGGAAATGCTAAGCAATATATGTTTGCTCAAGAAATGTTCCTTCAAATTCCATTTGTAAGCCAGGCAGTGGTGGTGCATTCGGAGGTAGAGGCAGACAGATCTCTGTGAGTCAGAGGCCAGCCTGATCTTTAGAGTGAGTTCTAGGACAACTAAGGCTACACAAAGAAACCCTGTCTTGAAAAACCAAAACAAACAAATAAAAAACCTCAAAATTTTAAGACAGCAACCTCTCCAATAACCTTATCAACTTGACCTTCAGGACTTTCTGTCTTATTTAAGCAAGTCACAGAAACAATGCTAATGCTGGCAAAGGCCTTTAATCCCAGCACTGGTGAGGCAGAGGTAGCCAGATCTCTGACTTCAAGCCAGCCCTGTCTGTAGTTCGAGTTCCAGGACAGCCAAGGCTACAAAGGGAAACCCTGTCCCAAAACAAACGACTATGACAGTGACAGTTTTTAAGTTCTACTTCATACTATTATGATTTACAAAATCATAACAAGTCTTTGCTTGTTACAGATTTTTAAACTCGTTTCTCTGCCTAGTTAAATTTTAAGACATTTTATTTGTATTGATCCTTAATTACAATGCTGGAGATATGGATTTATACAACTAGTACTGTCTCTCTGAATGCTAATTTAGCTCATAGGTAATGGGTCTTTCTAATTATTTCCTTTGCTGGAAAGAAAACCAACTACCTATGAGCTTTGGGAGCAGAAAAGAGAGCAAGCAGACTGGGGACCTGGGCTGGCATGATGACTAGGAAAGGACAAGACATTAATAGTGTAAGCTGGGAAATCCCAGTCCAATTCTCAAGAAAGTAAGTGACTTTAAAGGGATGACTAACTTAAAATTAAAAGTGAAAACCCATGTTCAAGGGCCAGCCTTGATAGATTTTTACCTCCAATGCCAAGGCAGTCTTGTCATAAGCACAGGGTACTCTCTTCTGGATTGCTTTTGCAAAGACAGGTCCATTCTGTGTGGATGGCAAAGGGTTGACCGCTGCCCCAGAAGTACTGGCAACTGTAGGTAGAGGAGTTGTGGTCTGAGGTTGAGCATACGCATGAGCAGGTTCTGGGATGCCGTAACTGTTAGAATTCCTATTTCCATGCTTTCCATGTGGCGAAGACCTCACAAGCTTTTCAACATAAGGAACAGGAATCATCCCAACCCGGCCATCCTTGTTCCGGGCACTCCACCATTGTTCTTCAGGCTTTTCTATTATCACTAGAATCTCGCCCTTTTTAAAGGGGAGGTCTTCAGCATCATTCCCAGGAAAGTCATAGAGAGTCCGTACATATTCCACATTTTCTTCTGCTGCAGACAAGTTGGGTGCTGAGACAGAACCCATTGGTGGGCTTGGATACCTTAAGAGAGAAACAGAATTATTCTGAAGAAAAGTCTTATCTTATTCTAAATTGGTATCTGTCAAAAATCTATTAACCACCTTCCTCTATAATAAACTGTTCCTTCATTATATTCTCAGTAATTAAGAATGTTTTGCCATTGTACATTCTGATTGTATGTTCTATAGTCTATAACAATATCTTCTCTATAGTCTACAATAATAACTTAAAAATACTTAAATATGTCATGTGTGTACACAGATACATGCACCATCACCCACAATGTGTTTCAGAGAAGGTTTTGTTTTCAGATTAATTGATCTGAATTTATTTAACTCTTAAGTTCTGTTGCTGACTTCTTTTGTTACAGCCATCACAGATACATTTCCTCAAACTCTTCCAATTGATGGCTTACATCCTGTATAGTTCCCTAATTACAACAGACACAAACTATGAAAATCATGGCCAGTTAATTGGCTCAGTGGTGCCACCACCTTTACTGTGTAAACCTTATGACCTGAGTTTGAACTCCAAAATCAATGTAAATGGTATCGAGAACCAACTCCATGAAGTTATCCTCTGACCACATACACGTCTGTACCCTCCTCCCCTAGCTGATAAACAAACACCACAAAAAAAAAAAAAGCCAAATGTGTAGTAAGATAGGGAGGGGGCTGAGTGTGGTGGCACACACCTTTAAACCAGCCCTAGAAAGGCAGAGACAGGCAGACCTCTAGGTTTAAGGTCAGTGTGACCGACCTATATAGCAAGTTCTAGGCCAGCCAGCCAGAGCTGCATGTGAGACCCCGCCTCAAAAAGAAAAAGAGAAAAGGGGAGGGAGAGAGAGTGCTTGCCTAGTATGTACAAGGCCCTGAATTTGAGCTAAGAAATGAAAACAAAATCCAACCAGATAAATTCTATTTTAATGCAAGCTTTGAAAATTCAAGTTGAACTACTCTCTAAACATTCCTCCACTATTCTTTTCTTCAAAGAAAACAAACTATCTTTTTTCATTTTACACACCAATCCCAGTTCCAAGTTCCTCCCCTCTTCTCATTTCCTCCACCTTCCACCCCCCATCCACTCCTCAGAGAGGGTAAGGCACATTGCTTTGGTGAAGGTCCAAGGCGCCTCCCTACTTTATCTAGGCTGAATCCAGACAATGGTTCCCAAAAAGCCAGTACAAGCAGTAGGAACAAATCTTGGTGCCACTGCTAGTGGTCCTGCAGTCTGCCCCAGCCACACAACTGTTACCCATATTCAGAGGGTTCAGTTTGGTCCTATGCTGGTTCCTTCCCTGTCCGGCAGGAGTTGGTGAGCTCCCATTAGCTCAGGTAAACTGTTTCAGTGGGTGTCCCCGTCATGGTCTTGACCTCTTTGCTCATATTCTTACTCCTCCCACTCTTCAATTGGACTTTGAGAGCTCAGCCCAGTGCTCCACTGTGGGTATCCACCTCTGTTTCCATCAGTTGCTGGATGAAGGTTCTATGGTGACATTTAAAATATTCATCAATAGGAAACCTTTTCCACTACTGCCTAGGGTCTTAGCTAAGGTCATTCTTGTGGATTCCTTGGAATTTCTCTAGTGCCAGGTTTCTTGCTAGCCCCATAAAAGGCCCCCTCAATCAAAATATCTCTTTCCTTGCTCTCCATCTCTGTCCTTCCTCCGTCTCGACTATCCCGTTCCCTCAAGTTCTCCTCCCAGCTCCTCTTCCCCCTCCCTTCTCCCACTACCCCCAATGCTCCCAATTTTATCAGGCGATCTTGTCTATTTTCCCTTCCCAGGTGGATCTATATACGTTTTTCTTAGGGTTCACCCTGTTACTTAGATTCTTTAGGGTCACTCCACTATTCTTTTGTTTAAACTGTTTTAAGGAAGTTTTACTGGAAAAACAAAACAAAGAACAACAATAAGAAAGAAAGAGAAATTGGGTGGAGTGCCGTGGAATTCTCCTCTGTATGCTGAGAATATGTTTTATTACCACTGATTAATAAAGAAGCTGCTTTGGCCTATAGCAGGACACAAGATAGCCAGGCAGGAAATCTGATATATATAGAGAGCAGGCAGAATAAAAGAGACAGCACATAGCTGTTCCAGGAGACAAATGCCAGATGGAACCTTATGGGTAAGCAACAATAATGTGGTGATACACAGATTAATAGAAATGGGTTAATTTAAGATATAAGAGTTATCCACAAAATCCCAGCAAAATTCTTCAAAGACCTCGAAAGAATAGTACTCAACTTCATATGGAAAAGCAAAAATCACAGGATAGCCGAAACAATCCTGTACAACAACTTCTGGAGGCATCACAATCCCTGACTTCAAACTCTACTACAGAGCTACAATACTGAAAACAGCCTCGTATTGGCATAAGAACAGATAGGAAGACCAATGGAACCAAATTGAAGACCCGGATATCAATCCACACACCTTCAAACACCTGATTTTTGACAAGGAAGCAAAAAATATCAAATGGAAAAAAGAAAGCATATTTAACAAGAGGTGCAGGCATAACTGGATATCAACATGTAGAAGAATGAAAAAAAATAGACCCATATCTATCACCATGCACAAAACTCAAGTCCAAATGGATCAAAGACCTCAACATAAAGCCAGCCACACTGAACCTTAATAGAAGAGAAAGTGGGAAGTACACTTGAACGCATTGGCAGAGGAGACCACTTCCTAAATATAACCCTAGCAGCACAGACACTAAGAGAAACAATTAATAAATGGGACCTCCTCAAACTGAAAAGCTTCTGTAAATCAAAGGACATGGTCAACAAGACAAAACAACAGCCTACAGAATGGGAAAAGATCTTCACTAACCCCATATCAGACAGAGGTCTGATCTCCAAAAAAACAAAGAACTCAAGAAATTGGACACCAAAAGATCACATAATCCAATAAAAAAAAAATGGAGTACAGACCAAAACAGAGAACTCTTAACAGAGGAATCTAAAATGGCTGAAAGACACTTAAGGAAATGTTCAAGACACACAACAGAACAGATTCAGACATAAAAGACCTCTAAAAGAGACACAATGTGTTTAAAAATGTACGCAGGCTTGGGAGAGAGAGGAAAAGGGTATAGACAGTCATAAAAGAGTACAGATAGTCATAGATTAAAGGAGTAAGGATAATAAAATAAATATCAAACTTGTAAAAAAAGTAATAGAGTAAGAAAAATAAGTCACATAAAATCACACAGAGTCTGGATCATATTATTGTGTTTTCTTTGAATTTTCTGACTGTGAATGATTAAGTACAGAGAGACAATTCATTATAAAGGCTGCTAAGCTAAACCAACATATATACTTTAAAGGTATCTTGACTTCAAAATTTGGGTTTTTTTTCTCTTTTTCTTTTTTCTTTTTTCAAAATTTGGGTTTGATATGTTGCTTGGAAAAGGTTTTGTTTTCACAGAGGACAGAAAAGGTGTGGATTCCTTACTGGCCAAAATGGTTTGATCAAACACGACCCCCTGAAGCAATGGCTTGGATGGTCCAACATCTGTGACAGCTTCAGGACTGCTGGCTGAGATGGACCTACCACACAGGATACCCCACAAAAGATCTGATTAACAATGGCCCAATCAGCAAAAAGTAGTCTAGAGAACAACACCCAAATTCCCAAAATGATTGTTTATAATTTTTTTTTTTACATTTAAAGGGGGATATGCTGTAGAGATGAATCCTCTGCATTGGTATGGATCTTGGTGTTTAGATATAATTTAAGGTCAATTTTGTTATATGTATTTCTGTTCTTGTTTGAGGTATTGTTTGTGCAGTTCATTTAAAAATATAACATATAATTAAGTACAGCTTAATAGATAGTCATCTATAATAGTCAAGCTTGTAGTCATGTTAGGTTTTCTAGATGTACAGATCTTTATTTCAGATGGATAGTTATTCTTCAAACCTTTCAAAGACTAACAGAATATGGCATTCAAAAATGTTTAAGAACTTAGGCCTTTTCATGACAATGAGACACATCTGCTCCTGGCAGTGCCAATCTACTCCAAGAGAATGATGGGCATCAAAGAGGCTCCTTATGGAGTTAACTAGCCATTTGGGCAAGAAACTGCTTTTGCCTGGACTGCTTGATGGCATGCTGTATGAACTGGACATGCAGAAGTCATAGAAAAATGACAGCTGAACTTGCTTAAAGGCGAGCCTGTCCTTCAGGGTTCTTGCTCCATGAAGAGTCTGCCAACATTCTGCAGAGTACAGAAGAAAGTGACTGACAAACTGCTAATAAAGGCAAAACAGACTTTCAAATTTCCTGCTTCATGGAAAAGTCTGCCGGATACTATGGACCTGTAAGCTAAAGATGAATGCTCCAATGTTACAGAAGAACTTTGGGTGACTACCTAGGCAGCAAGATGTCTCTGTCAATTCTAGAGTTTTGGAAGTTGCTTACAATGCACTTCTTATTAAGTAATATTATATCCTTCTGGGGTCTTTGATGGAGTTGAAGAATAGATACTTATAGTTTTCCTTAGTTATGATAAAAGATAAAGTAGATAAAAATATTGTAACTGTAATTCTTGTTTGATACCTGTTTTGTTTTATGTAATTTTACTATGTTAAAGTTAAAAACTTCCTTTTTATTTAGACAGAAATGGGGAGGTGATGTGGAATTCCCCTCTGTATGCTGTGAATATTTTTTATTACCATTGGTTAATAAGTAAGCTGCTTTGGGCCTATAGCAGGGCAGAATATAGCCAGGCAGGAAATCTGATAAAGAGAAAGAGGTGGCATAAAAGAGACACCATGTAGCTATCACACAATACACAGAAGTAAAAGAAATGGATTACTTTAAGATATAAGAGTTATCCAGAAATATACCTAAGCTATTGGCCAAGCAGTGTTGTAATTAATATAGCTTCTGTGTGATTACTTCAGTTCTGGGCAGCCAGGAACAAACAAGAAGCCTTCGCCCTATAGTGGAGAGATGGCCATTAAAGTGGTTATGACACACGCACAAACGAGAGTTCACACTTCTAGCGCCTAAG